CGAACCATTATCAGAACTTATGGAATCTAGCTATGACACTCCACGACCAGGACGAACATTTCGATCGCGAGCTGAAGATGCGGCAGCGGTAAACCAGGATCACTATCAACACCACTTATCGTTTGGAGTACCTTCTGGTACCGGAGCAATAGCCCAGCGAGCTCAGCTTGGACAAATTCGCGAACCGGGGCGCCTAATGATGCCAACATTGGAAGAGAAAGCAGAGCCAAGCAGTAGTACATCCGTTTTACAGAATGTTTTCAACGGTTTGTCCGGATCTAGCAGTAGTACGAATTCTGCCCCTCTTGTCGCTTCTGCATCTAGCTCGACCATCAACGACGACGAAGAGACGAAGTTTAATCATTCATTCAGTTCTGACAATGGACGAGGCTTCGGCACCAGGTTAGGCCTTGTTTTTTTATCAAACTAGAAGTTGGAATCTCCCCTCCTTCCCATGTTTTGCTGTTTATGAAAAATAAATTTTGGAAATGTAATCGAGTAGTTACAAAAAAAAGATTACTGTGAATTACGGTGCAGCATTAATCAAAGCAGCTGAATTAAACTTCTATGCTTGAACCTCAGCTGTGCAAGATATCGAGCTAGCTGTTCTAAAGGTTGCTCAAAAACAAGTTATGATGGTAGACTTGATTGCCTACTCAGGCTTTTTTATCATCAAATTTCGTCAAGTGAAAATGAATATAGTCTCAGCTGTGGCGATGAGGCAAGGGAAAAGGAGACAGTTATGTCTAAAGTGGGAAAATAAAAGTGAAACTATTAAGTGTACTCGCGTACCGTTGAACATCAAATGTTAATTCCTTGAAAAAAAAAAAAACACCAAATCCACCCAACCATTAAGCAGCCATCAAAAAGGTGGTGTGCTTGCTTGACGAAAATGGCAAATAACAACCCAAGACAAGTAGTAATCCAGAGCTAGAGGACCTGAAATTGCTTTTAGGTAAATATCTGTATTTTAGGTTTGTCATGAGCAATTCATTTGGTAACACCTGAGAATTGCCAAGTTGTGAATATTGAGACAATCTGTATAGGTATCCCATGTTAGTGATACTATAAAGGTGTTTCATATGCCAGGCTCAGCTGTGCTAAGTCCATCTTCCCTGAACTGCATACCTGTAGTTGATATTCATCGCCTGTTCGACTTATGTACGTTTCCTCTTCGAAGAGCCACTGAATGGTCATTTATTTTTCGCAGTACTATTAACTGCGATTACAGTAGTACAACTGAGAAATATGTTTGCGACTACGTGATTTTCTGGAGCATTAACGTTTTAGGAATTTCACAGTACCGAAGCAAGCCACAGCATATGCAAGCAACAAGTACAGTTCGGATAATTCATTTAGGTATGGCGGCAGTGTTGCACCGGAATTATCAACCAGATATCGTTCCTTGGAAAGGTTGATTTTATCGATCTTTTCAACGCGACGTTAATTTATCGATCCTTTCAACACGTATCTTTATTTTTTACATATTTTCCGGCGTTGATTATGGAGGAAAATAAAATTGCGTTCTGGCTAAATGGAAGCACGTTCGAGAAGCGTGAGGCTGTGCCAGCCTCTTTCCAAAGTAGATGAATGCCTCCAGTAATCAAAGGAGCAAAATAAAAGAAGAAAAATCAGTAGGTGAAATGAATGACTGGATTAAAGTCAAGAAAGGCTCTACCAGTCAAGAACGGCTATATCCACATTAAAAAGTGGCCGAGAAATGGTAAAAAACAGAAAAGGCAGCATTGATTTGACGAAAATAAGAAACTGTTTCGTGTGGGTACTTTTGATACCAAGGATAAAGTTGGCTAAATCTGATGGCCAAAATGTTATGAAATTTCATACGCACTTTTTACACGTGATTGCATTTTTCAGCGGTGTGTGCAGTTTGGTAGGCGACGAAAACACAACGACAAGGAAACAGACAATTTGTTCAAAATTGACCGAAAAGTACAGGCTTATCGATATCGCTGTTAAGAAACTGGATGAGGTTTGTTACGCTCCGGCAGAGTGCCAATTATGAGTGATCGGTTTTCTAAATGATTTATCAGTTGGGGATAAATCAGTATGTGTGCCCGGTATCGTTGAGTAATGCTAAACAGATGAGCTGTTTGGAAAGAAGGCGATTTTTATTCGAACCGGGAGGATGTGGGATGAGGTGCAAGCATGAAATGATCAGGAAAAAGCTGATGATCTAGAAACATGGGAAAGAGCAGAACAGGCGCCAGATTTAGATCGGTCAAAACCCAGAGTCCGGATATCTGCATAAAGCAAGCAAAGTACAGATTAATTAGGCTGGTGCTAGAAAAAATGCGTCTGAATATTAGCTCTTCCTGCGCTGTGTAGTGCTTACAGTATCATCAAACAGTTGCTGAGCCACGCATGCCTCCCAGTGTGCAGTCTCACCACTTGCGGTCATTATCATAAAATTTGCATTTTCTTTCAGTGTACGGCAGCACATGCATGGCGCCAACCACATATACTGCAGAGGCACATTCCGGATATAAAAGAAAACGTTGAGACGATTGCAAGTGCAATGACTGGCTTTCTGGATGCCGCTTGCCGCATTGCTGTGGACAGTGGCAATCCCAAAGCGACTGGTAAGCAGCGCTGCACATTCATGCCGATTCACTCGTCAGTGAGGGATAGTCACGGGAAAGAAAGCGATCACTCAGGCAGACTGCAAAAAGGCTATATGCGTGTGTGTGATGCGTATGGTTGATAAAAACCGAAACTAAGTAACAGAAGACAAACAGATCCGGCATTTTGTCCTAATTATGGGAGTATATCTCAGGCAGCTAATTCCAGTAGCTTGCCCATTTTTTATTTAATTTGTTCCTTCAAAAATTGAAAATTAACGTTCTTCCACAAATATTTGCAATGGTTTTGCTCTGAACAGCACCTACTCAAATAGGTTCTCAAAAGCTTGTAGCACAACCATCGAATTTCAGATGGTTGTGCTACAAGCTTTTGAGCTTTCCCGCCTAAGTTACTAGCATTATATATTAAATATTTTTCTTTTTTTTTTAAAATTAGGCGCTATAAATCCTTGTCAGCTAGATACTATAAATTATTTACTACAGCCAGTACCTACTCTTAAATATGATGTCTTCTTTACTCACTATGCTGTAGTTTTAGTTGCTCATATATATTTAATATGCAATGCCAATTTGTTAAGCACAATTACAAATGCAGTTCAAGAACAGATATTAGCTAACAGCGAAACATATCGAAAATGCTAGAGGTAAAAAAGAAATAATAATTTTTCTGAAGCAAGACGTTTTGTTCCAATAAGCTGCATACGGCATACGTATTAACTCAGCGCAAAACTGGGCTTTGTCAGTAGAATGTTTGTGCACAAGTTATAGCGTTGTAAACAAAAGGTGCTGTTTGATGAAATAAGAGACTGTGAAGGAAATTATACAAGAGGGGGTAAGAAAAGCAGCGAAGGTAGCCGACTTTAGTCTCGAGCTTTTATTAATCATAGCCTAATTACCAGTCAATATAAAATAAAATACTTTGCCACAGTTTTTAGACAAGTTTGTTTGAAGCGCCTCTTCCCAGAAAAATTTTTTTTTTCTTGGTGAAATACCGGCTAAACTGCTGCACAACATATATGCCCTCCTTTCCGCTATC